GAAGGCAACCATAGTCATTTTCCTTTCTTTTAGATGATTTTCTCTCTCTCTCTCTCTCTCTCTCTCTCTCTCTCTCTCTCTCTCCTCCCTCCCTCCCTCTCTCCTTCCTTCCCTTTCTCTCTCTTTAAAGAGAGATGAGTTGAAACTCAACTACATCTAAACACTGAGCTTGTCTTCTAGTCCAGGTTACCGCTTCCTTTTTTGTTTGTTTGTTTTTTGTTTATTTATGTATGCATTTTTTGAAACAGGCAGCAATCCTCCTGCCTCATACTTCCAAGATGACCTCCTCCTCTTCAAATCATGCCAAATAACCTAAAAAAACATAAAAATTTCACAAGAAAGGAATGATTTTCTATAAATGATGATGAGAAAGAAACATGTATACTTGATAGATTAGAGGTGAAATTTTCCTTTTTATTACTTCTCTGTAAAATAAACTATGGAGCAATTCAAGTAAAACTAAGCAATTTCTTTCAGTTAATAAATTTCTTTAACCTTTTCAATCTCTACAACTACACTTATGAAAAACCAAAACAGTAATTGCTTTTTCTCTGGATTATGCCCTAGTCCTCACATACACGGAAGACTCTACTGGGGAGTTCTTGGGTACCATTCTTTAAATTTTCTTATGAAAGCCTCTTTAATCAAGGCTGATCTGATCATCATTCTTGGCTATTTCCATGAATTAGTATAAATATTGCACAAAGTGCTACTTTAGAAGAGAATATGAACTCATCCAGAGTACTTGATATATGGGATTTTACCAGTGCTTACTGCTAACATTAAAAATCAGGTTTAAACTTTGGTTGGTTTTGGTGCTGATCACCTTTATCATTTAAGGAAGATTGATTTGAACAAAGCACAAAGTAAAGACTGACAGATTTAAATCAAGATGCAAAAACTTCTGATTCCCAAAAGCATTCATTTATTTTAAATTATCTATTACGTTCTCTATCCAATGTTTCAGTATTTATTAGTCTTTAAGAGGTAGAGGGTATAATAAAGCTCCTTGGGGGAAATTTAAGAAGGAAACTGGTTCACAAAGACTGGCCTTAAATAGGTAGAAATCTGGGGTGCTAAATATTCTACAATGTGCCAAAAGAATTGCCTCCACCCTAAACCCCACCAATGCCAATAACATCTCCACTGAGCAATACTAGTAGGCAACAAACAGGTCCCCCACACAAAAAGGTGGACCACATATGCCACTCACCAGTCAGGTATTTTAGTCCTGCTTCAGCAGGGAAAGAGAATCATTTCACTCAAGGGTTAGATACATGAAGAATAGGAGTCCAAGAGAATTTAAATATATGATTTCCAATTATCATTTTACTTCACCCTCTAGGAAACTGTGGAAGATGGCCGCGCAAGTATCTATCAATCTGTCATCACCAACACCAGCAAAGAAATGTCCTGTTTCAGTGACTTCCCAATGCCTGAAGATTTCCCCAACTTCCTACACAACTCAAAACTCCTGGAATATTTCAGAATTTTTGCCAAAACGTTTGATCTTCTAAAATATATCCAGTTTCAGGTATCGTATTTTGGGAGAAATGGATTTCTCTACATTAGTTCAGTTCACATTTGAATAGAAAAGCTACTCTGGTGATGAAAGACATGGAATACACTATCCTGCTTTGATGAATTTGTTGAATGCTAAAAGCTTGGTACATCCCAAAAAGCAGCTTCGTTACCCTTGGTATTATAGATTGTATACATTAACAGAAAAGGAAAAGTGTCTGTTAAAATTGGAAGTTTGAATTATGATAACATAGGTGGTAAAATTACATTGAAACTCTGCCATTGGAGTCTCCTAGCCTCATATCCCTTGATATGAGATCTCTACAGAAATGAGATTTCTTATATATGTATTAAACAAAACTTTCTACTTTCCATTTATCTCAAAAGCCTGTGATAACTATTTTTGCTACTTTCTTTTTTTCTGCATGTAATCTCTAGCAACATAGAGAGGATCAGATCATTTTGAGTTATACTTGGAATTATCTTTTCCTGTGCTTTCTCTATAAATAAATAATAACAACAAAGAAACACATATTCTCGTTAAACACATTTCATTGTTAAAGATGGAATTGCATTCCTGGATAAATAACTTTTACTGAAGCTTATTTTGATACATTTCATTTTCTTAGTAATTCTAGTCTTGTAAGTATCAAACTTGTAATATATTAACTTGTAACCACTGATTTTGATGGAAGTCTGTATTTATAAATACCATAAAATTTCCACTTAATCCTCATATGATTTCTTCACAATTCCTGATAGATCCAGCCTATAGATGACAAATTTTTATACCAGAGATTTTGATAGGTCTTTGTCCACTTAGCTATCCATCTACTGAACAAATACATTGCCTTCTTATGAAATGTAATTTATATTATCTGGTCTTGTAAAAGTCATGTTTAAGTTTCAAGGAGTTCTCATTTGCTGTGTTACTTGTTCTACTGTTTTCTGGATGATGACGAGGAAGACACATTTTCACTTATTAGCCTCTTACCTGATAAAGTCATAGACGGTAGGTCTATTTCCAACTGTAAAGGGCCTGCTGCTTGCCAGTGACAGTGTATCCTACATCAGTGCTTCTCAAACTCTAGTGTGCATAAAACATGAGTTGTGATTAAACAGGCATAGGATAAATTTGAGATTCTGCATGTCTAGCTCCTGGGTGATGTTGAAGGTACCAGTCCTCAAACCACATTTTTGAACAGCAAGAACTCACAAAGAACTTTAGCTAATATACTACTCTCACCTAAAAATTTCCACTGAAAACTACTTGCATTCTTTAAAGCCCTTTTACAAGATTTTTGAATCTCTCTATCCATATATATTTTTTAATTGAGATAGTTTTAAAAATCAGCAACCCAATATGTTGAAAAAAACTGAAAAAATTCAAAGACATATTGTGTCATCAGATTTCAGGTTCTGTGACAAAATGTGCAAGTGCAAGAAAATAAACTTTTTTTAAGGGAAAGGTTCATTTTAGTTCACAGGATCAGAAGTTTCTGTCCATGGTCATTTGACCCTATTGTGTTTGGGCCTCTGTGAAGGCAGCATATCATAACAGAGAGTACATAGGAGGACAAAGCTGCTCACCTTGTGACAGCTGGGAAGAAGAGAGAGAGAGAGAGAGAGAGAGAAGGAAGGAAGGAAGGAAGGAAGGAAGGAAGGAAGGAAGGAAGGAAGGAAGGAAGGAAGGAAGGAAGGAAGGAAGGAAGGAAGGAAGGAAAAAGGACTTAAACCTGAATATCTCCTTCAAAGAGATGCCTTGCTCCCCATGACCTAACTTCCTGCCACTAAGCCCCATCTCTTAAGGACCCACCACCTCCCAATTGTGCCATGAACTGAGGGCTAAGTCTTTAATACATGGGCTTCTGGAAGACACTTATCCAAACTATAGTACATATGCAAAGTCTCACATACTTTCATGTGAGAAAACCAGCATCTCCACCCTCTAGAAGTATATCTAGCATTATTTCCCTTTGACATTGTTTCTTAAATTCAGCAGACATGAAACATTCATGAACATTACTAACAAAAAAAAATTGATAGCCTTCCATACGGTGAGGTATGTTTAAAAAGTTAATGAAGCAATATCTTATTTCATTCAGATGAGATCTGGAGCTATATTGCTAATTTGATGTACTCTGAACAATCAGGAATGTTAACAAGCACCATTTGGTAGAAGGATAATATGCCAGGCACTCTGCCAAGTGCTTCACATGAAACATCGTCTGTGATAGAGTCTACTGGGAAGTGGGTATAGAAAAGGAACTTAAGAAATGTTCATTATGTGTCCACTTAAATGAGTGGCATATGTTTTGTATCCTTGTCCAGATCTTGCCTTCCTTCTCCTTTCACTGGAGTCACTCAGTGTTTGGCACCCTTAACACACTGGTTCCCACTGCTGAGTCAGCCCTTTGTACAAAGTGGTTTGTCCTCAGTGCTGCCTGCCAAAGAATAAGAAGGGAACACTCGGCAAAGTTTGCCTTCAGAGGCCTGCAGAGGAGTCAAAATAACATTAAATTGGCTATACATTACACTCTCCCCATCCCCTACTTCCAGGGCCCTGCCACAGTAATTAATAATGTCTTTTCTGTTTGTTCAAGACAACCGTCCTCAGTGTGAAAAAGTGCCCAGATTTCGCGTCCTCTGGCCAATGGGAGGTTTATATTCAGAGCAATGGCAAGGAGCAACAGGTTGTCTTTGATGCCATCATGGTTTGCAGTGGCCATCACATCCAACCTCACATCCCACTGAAGTCATTTCCAGGTAAGGTTTCTGCAATTCTCGGCCCTCAGGAGTAGGCTTCCAGGAATCTCATGTGCGGTTTGGATGGATAGGCAGGATTTGCTGCTATGACTGGGGATAATGAGATTGAGATAGAGCTGGAAAGATAAAGACCACCAAGCACCATCTTTGTTTCTGTTGCTCTCTGAGTCTTCATACATATCTCAGCTAACTTCCTCCAGTATCTCTGTTTTTTCTAGAAATTCAGAGAACTCTCACAAAAATTGGTTCTGTATTAGAGACCTTTATAACCATATGCCTATACTGGTCTTATGTCCTACCAAACCCATGCAAATTGGTTACATTCTTGAAGCCCCTTCTACCCCCCCCCCAGGGGTTAGTGGAGAAAATGTGTAGAAATGCAGGCTGGGACAGGACAACGGGGGCAGTGCAAGACTGGATCCCTGAAGCCAGCTGTCCTGATGGCCCAGCCTCCCTCAGAGTTCCCTTCCCAAGTGAAATCAAACCCCTAGACAAGAAACCACCTCAGAAAGCACGTCCTTCCCAGGGTCCTCAAGAAAGCATCTACCACAGCAGTCAGCATCCAAGCTTCATATGAGAAGCTCCTAAACTCCTGGTGGCCAGAGAGCTTCCCAAAGAATCAAATACTCAGACGAAAAGCAAGTAAATCTTGCCACAGGGGTGGGGGCGTCAATATGCAGTCAGGACTGAGCCCCACTGGTCTAAAGCAATGGTTCCAAAGCAAAATAATTTTTTAAAAACCACAAATTGCAGGCCTCCAGTCCAGAATTTCTGGTTCAGCGGATCTGGCACAAGGCTAAAGCATGCTTTTTAGTAGTATTATTATTTATTTCTCCCAAGTTACCAGAACAGCTTAATGTTGCTGGCCAACGAACCCCTTTTTAAAAACAAATGGCCTAAAAATTCTTTCAGATAACTCCACAACAAAAGCAAAGAAATACTTTAATAAGGTCATGTATTCCTGAGAAGTCTAAAAGTGCTTAACTAGAAAGAACACACAGAGGCCAACACAGGACTAACCATCAAATGTTACCCACTGACTCAATGCGTAATTTCTGCATATCTGTGTTTTAGTTTTTGTTTTTGCAAAATGATAAATAGTATTCTAATTCTTATATAATTGCAATAACATCATTTAAAAATATTTTAAAATATAACTACTATGTGAAACCAGAGTATCATTAGACAGTCTAAATAGAATGACAGATAGTCAGAAATCAGCGCCAACCCCTGTTCTGTGCAGCAAAACCAATTGCTGACCTCTGATAAATGCAGGCACTGCAGCCTCTCACATGCATGGTGCCTAATGTTGCTTATAGGACTTTTACTTTGAGTTTGATCATTGATCATTCTAACTCCTACAAGAGAGGAAGGAAGAAAACACATGACTGATCCCAAAAAGGAAAAACTGACAATGTGGTCTTATTGAAATTAGCTTGATATAAAGTTTCTCTCTTCTTACCCCTGAAGGTATTGAGAAATTCAAAGGCCAGTATTTCCATAGCCGCCAATACAAGGACCCAGCTGGATTTGAGGGGAAACGCATCCTGGTGATTGGAATAGGAAACTCAGCCTCAGATATAGCCTGTGAACTAAGTAAGAAGGCTGCACAGGTGCGATGATTTCTGCTTCCCTTGTACTATGGGAAAGAAAGAAAGGAGAGACAGCTGGAGCACCCAGTTGTACATCAAAGCCCCATCATTCATTTGGTAGTTGTGCATTTTAGTATTGTAGAAAATCTGGAAGAAACCAGAGTCTAACTTCTAGCTCTGCCACTAGCCCAGCCACATAGCCTAGAATGAGTCAATTCTCTGGACTTGGTTCCTTCATATTTTAAATAGGAAGTTTTAACCAAATATCCCTGATACAAAAGGCCCAAGTTTTACCCATGGGTCCTACTGAGAAGCTGAGCCATTCATAAACTGGATGGGCAAAATGAGAGAAGGAACTGTCCCATAAGGGGCAAAATCACAGCTGTAAAGACAGGAAAGACTGGTGGACTGACCATTGGAATTAGTCCAAGGATTTTCTTGTGTCTCCATAACAGTTTCAAGACTTTGGCTCCTCTATCCATGCCAACGAGCTCTGAAAACTAGGAGAATTTCACTTTGAGGTTAAACATTTTTAAAATGGAACCTCAGGGCTGGGGAGATACCTCAGTGAGTAAACTGCTGGTCTCACAAGCATGAGGACCTGAGCTTGAGCCCCAGAACCAGAGAGGGGAATGGGGGAGGTAGAATGATTAAAACTCATTATATAAATATATGAAACTTTTTTCTGGGTCTGTTTTCTTTTTTTATTTATTTTTTATTTACATAAATAATTTATTGAGAATTTCATACATGTATATAAGGCGTTTTGATCAAATCCATGCCCACTCCCTCCCCTCCAACTCCTCCCATATGTCCCCATCACTTTTTTCTGATAACGTATATGAAACTTCTAAACAATAAAAGAAGAAAAAGAAAAATCAATAGGTGAATAAATAAGAAAAACTGCTGAGTGTGGTGATGCATAGCTGTAATCCCAGTGCCAGGGAAGCAGAGGCAGACTCCCTGGAGCTTGCTGGGCAAGCCAGTCTGGCCTACTTGGTGAGCTCCAGGTCAATGAGAGACCCTGCTTCAAAAATCAAGGTGGATGGTGACAGAAGCAACACCCAAGGTTAACCTCTGGCCTCCACATGTATGCACACACAGAGATACATGTGTACCTGCACACATATGCACCTTCATGTATGAGCATGCACACACACAAATAAAAAATAAAATGGAACTCTGCCACCAAACATATTACATATCACATGTACAAGAGATTCCCCCTAAAGGTCCAAGGCCTAACTTAAACTGCACTTCTTTTTGTTTACAAGGTCTTTATCAGCACCAGACAAGGTACCTGGGTCATGAGCCGAATCTCTGAAGATGGCTATCCTTGGGACATGGTCTTCCATACAAGATTTAACTCCATGCTCCGAAATGTCCTGCCACGCACCATTGTCAAATGGATGATGGCACAGCAGATGAATCGATGGTTCAACCATGAAAATTATGGTCTTGAGCCTCAAAACAAGTATAGTTACTTTTCTTTTAAGGGGGCTATATTCAGTGTAAGCAAGGTTGGCTGCAACTACCTCTCTTTTCAAAGACCCAATTTTCTAGCATGGTGGTTCAAACTATAACCTAATAGTATGTGTATCCTATAGGTCCTAGAGTTTGAAACTCAAATTTGTACTACATGTCTTTAAAAGAAATACTTAAGGAAATGATATAAGATCTTATAAATTGTTCTAGAAAGCAGAATTAGAATTGATGGAAAGAACTTTCTAATACCCAGACGGCCCAGTTTTGGAGAAGGCACCTCAAGAGACTGTGATCTTCGCAGACCACTATGACGGGAAATGCACAGATTCCATCTGATAAGCTGTGTTTTACTGACCATATGCCCTGAGGGTTGTTCCCATGGGCCGTTTTGGAAAGTATATTCCTTTCTCATTGCCTAAAGACAAATATTTGTTGGTTGAACAAGTAAACATTGTGGATGTTTACTTTTCTTTAGTTGATAACAGTCTCCCTCTCCCAAGTTAAAAAGATTATTTAGAGTCTTGCAACAGATGTTCCGCTGCATTGTATTAAGAGATCCAATGTAGATGTCATACACTGCCTTATTTTTTTGTTGTTGATGGCGGGGGGGAGGCAGGGGGGTGGGGGGTGGGGTGGAAGGGTGAATGAGGCTTAGGGAGTCCCGGCGCTGAGAGCTGCGCTATAGACTTACCCCAAGAGGCCTGAGGATACACACTGCCTTATTTTTAAAAAAAGAAAATAAATGATTCACAAATCAAGAACTCCAGAAATATAAGCAAACTATGCTCCACTGTCCATGCCATCATAAACAGAGTTTCCACAGATACTGGGATCAATAAATATTGCCAAATCTATTTTTATGCATCGATTTTTAAGCACTGATCCCATAGTAAATTTCATTGCTAATGTGATACATTTTCCATTCCTTACTTATGAGCAGATAGAAATTAAATGAAACAGTCAAACAATAAAAACTAGATAGCATAAAAAGTGGTAGAAGCACCAAGGGGGTGACAGCTACGAGAAACTCAGAGCAGAACCAGAGGTACTGACGTTCCATCCATGACCTCAGGGACACTCTCTTCTCTTTTTTTAATATTTTCTTATTTTTATTTTATTTCATGTGTATGCGTGTATTGCCTGCATGTATGTAGGTGTACCCATGTCATACAATGGGTACCCACAGAGGTCAGAATAGGATGTCAGATCCCCTGCAACTGGAGTTATGGACAGTTGTCAGCCGCCATGTGGGTGCTGGGATTCGAAACCAGGTCTTCTGCAAGAACAGCCAGTACTCTTAACCACTGAGCCATCTCTCAAGCCCAGCACTCTCTTCTTTGAAATATTTTTATGTAGATCACCTGCATAATTACCATTATTTATTGAAGGACAAGATTAGTGGTATTAGAATAAGTCCAAGTTTGGGGGCAGGCAAACAAGTTTAGATGGAGTTTGGTGGATACTTGAGGAACTGGCCCTAAAACTGTCAAGAGGGTTGCAGATTCATCAAACACTCTCCTGAGTGTCTTCTCTCCTGTATCAGATACCTTATGAAAGAACCCGTATTAAACGACGATCTTCCCAGCCGCCTGCTATATGGAGCCATCAAAGTGAAAACTAGAGTAAAAGAGCTCACGGAAACTGCTGTCATTTTTGAGGATGGAACAATGGAGGAGAACATTGATGTCATTGTCTTTGCCACAGGATATACTTTATCCTTTCCGTTCCTTGATGATTCGCTTGTTAAGGTGGAAAATAATATGGTCTCGCTGTACAAATTCATGTTCCCCCCTCACCTGAAGAAGTCAACCTTTGCATGCATTGGTCTCATCCAGCCTCTAGGTTCCATTTTCCCAACTGCAGAACTTCAGGCACGCTGGGTGACAAGAGTTTTCAAAGGTAGGTAGATAGTTCAACCTGACAAGGTATGTTTTATTTTTAAATAAATTTATTGATTGATTTTAGTGTGAGTGTGGGTGTGGGTGGGTGCACGCCCCTCACACGGAGGTCAGAGGACAGCTCTCAGAAGTTGGCTCTCTTCTGCTACCTTGTGGGACCCAGAAATCAAATTCAGGTTGTCAGGCCTCCACACTAGCATGGACCTACCTGCTGAGGCAGCCTAAAGTTTTCAATGTTTTGAAAAGTCATCTCCTCTCATGTGTGCAGCATTTTGCCATCCTCAGAAGGCTATTATTTCTCTGTTCCTGGGGTTCAGTTCTAGTCAACAAAACCTCATTGACCACATAGCCTGTGCTGAGGCCTAGTAAGTCAGAAAGAAATTTTAAATAAGTCATTTTAACATTACATGGAAAATGCTTTGATGGAGAAATGGGTGAGTGTTGTGAGAAAAGGAGAAAAGATAGCAGAGTGGGATGGCAGGAGGGCACAGGGTGAGAAAACTTCCTGGTTTCTTGGTTACAGAAAAGGAATCCCCTGAGGAAAGGCTCAGAAGCAGGCAGGGTGCATGTGGAAAACTTAACATTGCTAGAGTTGATGTGTGAGGCACAGCAAGATGAGAGGTTTATCTTAGAGAAGAAGATGGAGGGAGGACACAAAAGCTTTGTATACTGTGTTAAGGATCCTGGACTATAAAATGTATGGTTTTTTTTTTTTTTTGGAGGGGTGGAGGTGAGACAGAATCTAATATAACTTAAGTTGTCCTCAAATTTACTATGTAGCTGAAGTTGACCTTGAACTCCAGATCTCCTGCCTTTATCTTGCACGAAGCTCAGTTTTATAATCCCAGCACTCAGGAGGCAGGAGATTGGGCAACAGTTCAAGGACAGACTGGGCTATCTAGAAAGCATTTATCAAAATGAAAAAGAAGGAAAGGAAAGGGGGAGGGAAGGAAGGACAGAGGGAGGAAAAGATAAAGGAAGAGAAAAAAGATGAAAGACAAGAGAAAGAAAAACATAAAGGTAAAACTTGGGTTTTTCCCAAGTCTGGCTACACATAAGAATTGTGTGGCAGATCCTTAAAGAGTCTTTAAGTCTTGCCTAAGGACCTAGAATTTGTACTTCAAAAATCTCTTAAGCCAGAGGCACAAAGGAAAGGGTATACTCAAGAAATGGGAATTGTCCACTTTACAGTTAAGGTAGATTATTTCAGCAGTAGTTTGGAATATTGATTTTAAAGTTGGAGAATAGAGACTTGAACACCCCTAAAAAGGCTCCTGCACTCATCTGTGCCAAAATATGATGCAGCCTGGGCTGGCAAAGTGTCAACGACGGCATTCATGGGAGAATAGTTAAGAATAAAACCAGAAAGACATGACAGCTGACTCACAGAGAGAACGAGAGGAGTCAAGGATGGCGTCCAGGACCTAGCTCTGGAGACTGGTAGATGGCTGTGGCTGAGAGTTGAGACGGGAGGGTCTCAGTGACAAACTCAGCTTTGGACTATTTGTATCTGAGATGCAGGATAGCAGGCCATGTGCAAGAACTTGGCCATTTTTCACCTCTGAAGCTCACAAAACACTCAAACTCGGGAGATGGACCGAAGCACACAGAAACCCTTACGCTCATCCGCTTTATCTCTCCACACTGTCCTCATTCACTGAGGCAACCAGTGTTTCTTATCAGGTTTTCTTCAGTAGTTTCTTACTGGTCTCCCTAATTATAAGTTCACCTCCCTCAAGCTCACTAAATTCAGTAGCCAGATGGATCTTTCTGGAAGGGCAAGAAACTCTTCCACAGGATGCTATCACCTTCAGGATAGAAGCCAACCCACCCTGGCATTGTTTACAGGCTCCTCAGGCATGCTTACCTTCTCTGTCCCGTTCTTGGGCTCCTCTGCTTCATACTCCTACCACTGACTGTGCTCCACTTCATAGGCTCACTCCTGGAGCTCAACAGCACAAAGGTTCATCTTCTGAGCATCATGATGCATCTACTCATTCCTGACTGATAAAACATGATTAAATGGCCAGACCTTAATTTTAGAAAATGACTACTACACAAAGCAACAATTTTGAATCAAACTCACCATTTAAACCAACCTTGTATTTCCCAGGCTTGTGTAGCTTGCCTTCAGAAAAGACTATGATGATGGACATAATCAAAAGGAATGAAAAAAGAATTGACCTGTAAGTACTTTTTCTTACAACAAATGTTTTACATACAGCAGTGTTTCACAAAGTACAGTGATCTAACTGCCCACAAGAAAAAGCTACCTGCTAAAGATGCAGTCTTAGATTATAACCCAGGTTGAACGAACCAGAAATTCTGTGGACAAGACTGGAAATTCGCATTTTGATGCTTTCCCATGGTGATTCTTATACATTCTGCTTTAAGCGCCCATTACTCAAAGATAGATATTATATCAAGTCAAAGCATTTTTTCCTTGGGTTACTTTCATTTCAATGTTCTATGAAGACCATATTCGATTTCACATCCTCTCAGGCCACCCACACTCAGGAGATGGGATGGGATGGTGCTGGTGACAGTAGCCTGAAGCTCTCTCAAAAGTTAGTTGGGTATTCCCATCAAAATAACCCAGGAAGGGCCTCAGGTATGAACAGGATTTGTGGGTTTTGTTGAGCCGGAATCAAGTACCCTTGGAAAGTTGACTTGGGGCCTTACATCAGAAATAAGGAATTATCTTGTGTTCAAATTTTAATTCGTTTGACATTTATTGAGCATTTACTGCATAGCAGTCAGACTGTCAAGCTTTTAGCAATTTAACAAGTGAATACTAAGCATTTCTTCTGCAGAAAACACCAGCTCTCTGCCATTCCATGAATCTTTGTGGTCATCCTGAGTAATACATTACTCAGACTTAGAGCAACTTAGTTAATACTAAATAATTATCACAATCAACAATATTATTACATTCTTCCAGTCTCCATAAATTTGTTTACTCATAACCTCTTCAATAAGAGATATGAACTTCCTAATGGGAAAACATCCCAGAGATTCATTCAAAACCCATTTATTCATCCCCTCATTCCTTTATTCTTTCAACGTGTATTGAGTGCTTCATATTCTGATAGAACATTTTATGAATCTGCCCTTTTCATTTTTTTCATTAAGGTTTGGAGAAAGCCAGAGTCAGTTACTGCAGACCAACTACATTGACTACCTGGACGAACTTGCCTTAGAGATAGGCGCGAAGCCAGACTTCATCTCTCTCTTTTTGAAAGATCCCAAACTGGCTGCCAAACTCTACTTTGGGCCCTGCAACTCCTACCAGTACCGCTTGGTTGGACCTGGGCAATGGGAAGGAGCCAGGAATGCCATCCTCACCCAGAAGCAAAGGATCCTGAAGCCCTTAAAGACACGGTCTCTGAAGTCTTCATCCACCATCCCAGCCTCTTTCCTTATCAAAATTCTTGGGCTTCTTGCTGTTGTTCTGGCCCTCTTTTTCCAACTTTAATGATTCTATTTGTCAGTGTGACACTTACTTCTGCCTTTTTTCGCTTGTCCATCAGTGCGTATTTTAAAAAGACTGAAAGAAAAGATATTACATCTACATTGCAATGTTTAGAGTTAGAAAGGGCAAGTAGGAGGGCTAATTACTGGTAAATTAAAAGAATTAGGTCTAGATATAAAACCAAAATTATGTTATGACTGTTCTTTGCCAATTCTACCCTCTCCTCAAGTTCATCAGACTCCAAACCGCTTTATAAAATAAAGCTGGCCCAGGCAGACAGTGCTTCCAGTCTTGACAGGGTTTGAATAGTGTGGAAAAACAGTAAAATTACACAAAATATGAAACAAGTTCCATAGTTTAGATTACTGGAGAACTTAAATTGTGGTAGATGTTTAAAACTCATGTACTGTGTACTTGATGGTGTTCTTATGCAGGCTATGGTTACAGAGCTCCCCAATTTGGGGTTATGCTCTGCTGGCCTCATGAGGGATCCCTCAAAAACACTAGAGGAAAGAAAATAAAATAGATAGGCAGCAACAGCAATGCTCAGATAGACTTTAGGCATCTCACATTGCAAACTAAGAAAACAGACACATTTCCCTGCATACTGACAGAAACATTGAGGCAAAAATAAAAATAAATATTACATATTAGCTAGCTACAACATATGTGCATTGTTTATCATCGATCAGACATTGTGCTATGTGCACATCATATATATTATTTTATTTTATTCTCACAGCACTTGTGAAGTGGGCACAGCTGTGATACCCACTGTGTAGATGATGATACTGGGATACAGAACAGTTATGTAACATGCCCCAGGCCACAGTGATGGTGTTAAGATGGAGCTTGAATTGGAGCTCAGCTTTATTGAACTCTAAAACTGAAGGTCATAACCTCACCACACAAAATACTTATTTGTAAAAACCTCCACTCTTGATAAAGTACTTACTAATAGTTCATTTTATTCATTATAAGATTATAGTTTTATTCATTAGCACTGTTTTTCAAAACTAATAGCAACTTCCCTGAAAATACAACTTGATTGATTTCATTTGCAACATCTGGCCTATATTTCAGCTAGATTTTAAAAAGGACTTGAGTGGGTTGTGGTGGTACCCACCTTTAACCCCGGTACTCAGATAGCAGAGATAGGTGGATCTCTGTGAGTTCAAGTCCAGCCTGGTCTACACAGAGAGCTCCAAACAAGCCAGGGATACATAGTAAAAATCTATCTCAAAAAAGAAAAATAAAATTTTCTTCAAGAAATTTAGAATGAAAGGTATCTATGCAATCATATTTAAAATAATCATCAACATTTTGAAAAACTAGGAATTAAAGGAAAACGTATGTCCCAAGTAGTTGAAAAACACTCAGTAATTTCATAGCTAAGCAAGGCAAAATGCTCAATAGTGTGTTATCTTTGTTATCAGATATAAGGAAATGGAGCAGTGATGGGAGACATTCCCTTGGCACTGAAGACTCAAGGAGACAAGCAATTCAATGTCAACAAACACTGAGCAACATAATGGACATCAGACTATGAACATTCACAGCTGCTCTTTCCATGAACTGCACTGGGAGATAAGCTATGCCCTGAGACCAGACCAGGGGTCTAGGAAGAAAGGGCAGACATCGAGGACATTAAAGATTTAGGCAAGCCTCTCTTCTTTCTTCCTTCAAAGCTTTTATGAACACTATTCTTAACTCTCTCTCTCTCTCTCTCTCTCTCTCTCTCTCTCTCTCTCTCTCTCTCTCTCTCTGGCCTACAGAGAGATGGCAATCTCTGTCAGTAGAAACTTCTTTCTTTAAAGTTCACTGAAGAAACTGGGCTGGGGAAATTGCTCAATCAGTTAAGATATTTTCCTTGGTGAGCATAAGGATCTGAGTTTGATCCCCAGAACACATATTTTAAAAGCCAGGTGTATAGCCAGACCTGGTGGCATATACCTTTAATCCAAGCACACTTAGGAGGCAGAGGCAGGTGGATCTCTATGAGTTTAGGGACAGCCCAATCTACATATCAAGTGCCAAGCCAGGTGTGGTGGCACTCACTTGTAATCCCAGTGCTGAAATTACAAATGAAATGGAGAGGGGCTGACTCCCAAGGATCATTGGCCAGCCAGCCTAGCCTATTTGCTGAGTTCCAGGTCAGTAAGAGAATCTGTCTCCAAAAGAAAAGGTGGACTGTGCCTAAGGAACAACACCAGAGATTGGCCTCTGGCCTACAAACACGTACACACAAACCTGCACACTCATGTGTACCTGCACACACTTACATATACAAAAAAGTTCATGGAAGGTACTACAATTCCTTGAATTTACATTTAAGACTTTTTATTGCTCTTATAAGCAAATTCCTTTTAAAACTTACAAACAAATGGGGTATGGTGGTGAATACCTTTAGTTCCATCACTCTGGAGGTAGAGTCAGGTGCATCTTTATAAGATCAAGGCCATTCTGGTGTACATAGTGAGTTCCAGGCTAGCTGGAGCTATAGGGAAACCTTGTCTCAAAAAGATGAGAGAGAGAGAAAGAGAGAGAGAGAGAGAGAGAGAGAGAGAGAGAGGAGAGTATATATATATACTTCTTAATTAAAAGGAGATTATTTGAACTGGAAAGATGTCTCCAATGGATAGAGGTACTTGACACCAGACTTGACAACCTAAGTTTAATTCCCCAGGACCCACATGATGGAAGGAGAAAACTGCTCTTGCAAGTTGTCCTCTGATCTCCACGCATGCACCATGGCATATGTGTGTCCTCACACACACACAAAAAAAAAAACAAATAAAGTGCAACAAAAATAAAAGCAGACTGCCTTGTCAATTATTAAAAATTATCTTTGGGGCTGGACAGGTGGTTTGGCAGGTAAAGGCTCTCGCCACCAAGTCTGACAATCGGAGTTTGATTCCTGGGACTCACATGGTAGGAGAGGACCAACTCCTGAAAGCTGATTTATAACCTCCACATTCACACAGTGGTAATTGGTCCTAAACTAATATATACATATGTGTGTGTGTGTGTGTGTGTGTGTGTGTGTGTGTGTGTTTGATATTTCTTAAATGCCAGGCATGGTGGCTCATAATTTTTTTTAGTATTTTGTTTATTATTATTTTTTATTTTATGTGTATGCATGTATTGCCTGCATGTAGGTAAGTGCACCTGTGTCCTGCAATGCCTACAGAAGACAGAAGAGGCTATCAGATTCCCTGGAACTGAAGTTACGGACAGTTGTTCGCTGCCATGTGGGTGCTGGGATTTGAAGAAGAAGAGCCAGTGTCCCTAACCGCTGAACCATCTCTGCAGCCTGGTGGCTCATAATTTTAATCCCGGTACTTGAGAGGCAGAGATGGGTGAATCTCTGTAAATTGGAAGCCAGTCAGTTCTACATAGCAAGTTCTAGGCTAGCCAGGAATACAGAGTGGGACCCTGTCTCAAAAAAGTTTTTTTTTATTATTTTTGAGGGCTAAAGAGATAGCTCAGTGGTTAAGAGCATATAATACTCTTGCAGAAGACCTGAGTTCAGTTCCCAACCCACATGTTGGGCAGCTCACAACTACCTGTAACTCCAGCTCTGGAGGATCCAGTGACTCTGGTCTCTGCAGA